AATCACTAAATATTATAATCACTATATATGTCTGGTTTTGATATCCCTACTATTCTCAACAACAAAGATAAAATTATTGACTGAAAATATATGGTTCATGTACTGTTTTCCCATATGTTATTTTTTATAGGGATTGGTGTATTTTTTTTGATATGGAGTGGGGGATAGAAGGTCTATTTATATGTTTTTCATTGATTTATTAGACTACTAGCACATGATCATGAAATAGTCAAGGCAAAAAACCTTAATAATTTAACTAGTGAACAATTAACTAAACTCATCAGTAGGATTAAAGAAAAGAAAATTATAATTGACTCTTTTAAAGGAATTGTTTTAATGGACTTACTGGCTTATGTTAATAAATTAGTAAGAAATGGAAACACCCAACATGCTCATATTTCTCATTAGTTACAAAGATAGCACCCCCTACTTTAAAACAATTGAGCATCAATATAAAAAAATGTTACGCATATGTAAAAAGGGGATGCTATATTTCCAGACTTTATGGTACTACTAATTTCTCAATAATCACCAACCAAAAAGCAGTAATTCTTTACTAATTGATGGTTTAGTAATTGCTGGTGTCTCTGTGCTAGGAATTGGTTATTGATTAGGACAAAAGAGAAAGAAAACTCTCTATGAATAAAAGACAACAATTCTTAACTTCTTTAATTAGTGAAATAAATAAATCAAAGCCAAAAAAACAAGCAATTATTAACAGACTATCGGAATTAGAAACTGAAACTAAAAAAGACTGTTCACACTGTCAACATCAGAAATATGTCAAATAAACTTCAGTAATCAAGGAGGGAAAATGAAAATAAAAGCCGATTTAGCACAAAAAATCCAGTGTGTTAGGAATTAGATGACTTAATTAGGTAAGAAATATCGAAAAATATTTGGGTAAAAAACCACCAATATCTTTTACTTAAAAATAGTATTATGCCTAATTGGAAAACATACAGAATTGTAAAAATTGAAACCGAAGGTTCAACAAGACCAATTTTGTTTCACTTAGATAATCATATAAGTTATCAAAATGGAGGATACAAATTTATTTATTGTCACAATTGTCTTCCTTTCACTGCTTATAAAGTGGGCGATTACATAGAAATTGACTTAGAAATAATGGCTAACAACAAATTTAAGCATGTCTTTAATGAAAATAAAAATGTGATCCAAGGAATTTCATGTGAAGCTAACCAACCCCCTCACAATTTACCAACACTTTTTGTGGAAGAAAATTTTTCGCAAGCATTAACCATAGGATGAATGATTGATAGTCTAATCAAACAAAGTAATGGAGAAAATGAGTATGAAGCCAAAATAGAAGTTGATCCGAACACTCATAAACTCAGTTATTTGATACTAGGAAGGAAAAAAGGTTAAAAAACTCTACAACAGTCAAACATAATCTACATATATATATTATCTACTGAAAAAGCATAAAAGCATACCTCTAATTTAGGATTTATTACTTTTTTTTGCTTTTTAAAAATTAGTATTAATTAATTTGGTATTCATACAACAATTAACTGAAATGGAATTATATTTTTTCTGCTTTTATCACATATATATTCACAAGATATTTTCCTAAAAGATTTTAAATTCTCATTTATGTAAGAATTTAATATTTTGACTTGGAAATTTTATTTGCATTAAATATTGTTATTCTTAAAAAAGTTATTATTTATTTATACATGGAAACAAAAACCAAAACCTAAAAAAAATAAATAATTGTAATAATGAATGAATATCTAAATGGTAAACAAGTATTAATTATTCTCTTCCTTGGTGAACTGTCATTTTTGGAGCTTCTAATTTATTTAAGAATTCTAAAATTGTTTCATCACGAACTTCAGGAATATGATTTAACACCAAATAACGTTTGTCATCCTATATTCATATATACAAATGATTCAACTGTTAGTCCCTTGAATAGAAAACAATAAAAGTTTTAAATATTAAATTTTTTACCTTTAGTAAATCATTAATTTCTTCTAATGTTAAACCACGAGCCTTTTCTTTCATGGTACCAGTTTCATCAGCAGCCCCATCTTCTGACAATTTAACCAATCTTGTTCTATACTCCACTAATTTATTTTCTTGTAATAGTTCTCTGAACTCTTCCTTGGCTTTAAGAATTCTTCTTTCCAAATATTTATCAAATAGTTCCTCTAATACAGTATCGCTTTTTGAAAGTCTAGAAGACCTTGGATCATCTTTAATTATATGACTAATCTCTAACCAAGTAGTATCTAAATTCACATGCTTATCTAAAAGTTGATGATATGCTTTTAAATTTTTCTGGTAAAGTTGATTGAGATGCTCATTGAAAAGCTGTTCCCTGTCACCATCATTCAATCTTTCAGAATGGTAACGTGAATCACGCTCTAGATCTGTTTTCTTTGTTTCCCAAGTTGTCTATACAATGAATCATAAATAAATAGTAAACATAAGCATGTTATGATAATCAATAAATTATTAAATTAAACAAAAGAAACAAAAATTACCTCATGAGTCCTTACTAGATCAATTAAAAGTGTTCGAAATGCTAGTATAGATTCTTCGTGTATAGCTTGTCTCTTGGCGCCATCTTTATTACGTTCTTGTGCTTTTTTTTCTTTTCTAACTTGCAATTCACGTTGCCTTAAACTTGCTTCTTCCCTTTTTTTTTTTTTTGAAAAAAATCCCATCAATTATTATTAAATATATTAAAAAAAAAGTTTATAAAAAAATATTTACCTGGCTTTCCTTTCTCTTTGTTTCCTTTCATTTTCTTTTCTAATCATTTCTTCTTCATCTTCTGCTTCTAGTTTTCTACAAAATTCACGAAATAATTCTTCTCTACGAATTGAAGATTGCACCTCATCATATCTTGGATCATCATTTATTAATCGTTTTATCTTTGTTTTATACATATACAAATATATAAACATTTATTTTAATATAAAAAGTTAATAAATTTTTTTTTAAAAAAAACCACAAGTGTCAATTAACTTTTCTCCAACTTGAATCATATTTTATTTCTCTTGTTTCCATTAAAAGCATCGTAAATTCTTCTTCAGCTCTTTTTTGTTGAGCTTTTTTACCTAAAAAAAAAAAAAAAAAAAAAAATAGCAAAATTTAATGTATAGCATTCATACTAAAAATTATTCAAAATCAATATATATATATAATTACGTTGAAATTCTTTTTCTTTTAAGTCATCAACATGATTTCTAAATAATTTTTCTCTTTCTTTATCATCCGAAAAATTCTTAAACCTTAAATCTTTTTTAAACATTCGTCTAAACTCATCCCAATGTGATCGATGAGTTGTTTCTTCCTCCAATAATTTCGAATATTCATCTTTTGCTGACATATGCTATGATGAAAATCAGTCGTTAATTAATATTTGTTTACATGTAAAATAATTTTTTAACGCTTACCAATGCCTTATTCTTTTTTTCAGCTCTAACTTCTACAGCTCTCTCTTTACAATATTCGTCAAAATATTCTTTTCTTTGTTTTAATGTTGGAATCACTACCAAAAAAAAAAAAAAGAAATCGTTAATTTCAAATCTAATAAAGAAATTTTATTATTATAATAACATACATGTATATCTTGAATCATGTATAATTCTTGGTAGTTCTTTTTCCCACATTGCAAATGGTGAAACGTCCATATCCCTAAGAAGACTCTAAATAAATAAATAAACGAACAAATTAAGTATTGATGCTTTCATTCATTTTTCTCTCCTTGCTATATTCAATCTTACTTTAAACATCAGAACACGCTCTTCAGGTGATAATTCAACCTCTCTATTTTGTTCTTTAAATGATTTTTGAGAATTATCAATTCCTCCGCCAGTCATTTCATACTTTTGCAAATCAGAATGTTCATCAAGCTTAACACCACCGGCCAATAATTCTTGTTCTTCCATGAATTGAAGTTGAAAAGATATATCTTCTTCAGTTAATCTAATGTATCAATTATTTAAATAATTAATTTAATTTAAAAAAATAATAAAGAAATTTTCTCTTTTTTTCATTGAAAAATCTTACTCTGTTCCCTCCATCCCACCATCAATTCTTCCTTTAGCTCTTTTCACATCTTCACCATCCACTGATTCTTCATCGTCATCAGCCTTCCTTTTAACTCCTACACCCTCATTATTTAATTTATTGTTGTTCTGAGATTCTTTTGCCTCCTGTTCTTTCAATGCCTTTACAGCGTCAGCAATTTCTTCAGGAATTTCCCACACAGATTGTTTAGTTTCAGAATTATAATAAAACTCGTTACTCTCCGTTGTGTTAACAATATACCACTTGGTGTCAAGTATTTGTTTCCTATAATAATTAAGGTTTGAAACAAAATTTTTTATTTTATTTTTTTTTGGAAATAAATACTCAACGAAACCATCTACTTACTTTCCCTTAGACTTTTTTTTCTTTTGGGGTCACTTTTGAAGGTTTACGTGTTACTGGAGACGATGGTGACTTTGGCTTACCGGGTGGAGATGTAATTGGTGATGGTACTGTGGATGTCGACGTCGGAGAAGGAGATTCGTGAATTGAATTTTTTTTTGTTGTTGTTGAAGCAGTAATAGGTGGAGGTGGAGATTTAGGTAATGTTGGTGAATCTTCATAACTCCAGGCTTGTTTTGAATTTGGCACATCTGAAGATTGTGAATGAAGAGAGGCCGGCCTTTTACTCTTACTGGAAACAGAGGAAGCTTGCTGTTCGTCAGAAGTGGTCTCTGCTACCGATTTGGGTTGTGTTGAACTAGTCAATGATGATTTTGGTGAAGCAACATCATCAGTATCATCAACATCAACATCGACATCGACATCGACATCTGCATCGACATCAGCATCAACATCAACGCCAACCTTGTTTTCCAATTCTGGTTCATTTATTTTTTCAGTGACTTTCAAAGTTTCCGTTGGTTGAGTTTCTTGAGTTTTAGCTTCCTGGGTTTTAGCTTCTTGAGTTTTAGCTTCCTGCGTTTTAATTTCCTGAGTTTTAGTTTCTTGAGCTTTAATTTCTTCAATATACGTCGATGGAAATAATCCAACTTCTCCTTGATCGTTTTTTCCTCTCCACCAACCATCATCAGTCTTATCCAAAATTGTAATGGTTGTGCCAGCAACTAACGCAATCTCATCTTTTCGTAATCAAATAAAATAATAAAATTTATAAATATCCGTAATTTTTTAATTGATTTGAAATAATAATGATGATTATACAAACCTTCGCCCTCAACATCATAGTCATACAACACTTTAGCTTTTAATTCTATTTAAAATTTATTTTACAATGTAATAATAATAGTATAAATAATAATAATAATACACAAAGTTCTTAAATAAATCCTTTTGACAATAATATAATTACCAGATTTTTTGGGTTTTGGTGGTAATTTTTTGGGCAATGGGGGCAGCGAAGATGCAGGCTTTGTTACGATTTCTTCTGGTTTAGGTGGAGATGGTAAATTACCTATTTTGGGATGAGAATCGGAATCATCAGAACTTGTGGTTCGACGAGTTATTGTTTTCTTTGATGGTACAGGAGTTGTTTCATGAAGTTGTTTTCCTTCATTGTTGTCGTTTGATTCAGCACTAGAATCTGATGGTTGTTGACTGCGTTTCTTTTTACCCAAAGTTGGAATTCCACCAGAAAACAAACTACCAATCCCGCCTTGTTTTACACCATAAATTGCTAGTTTTTTTGTAAATTTCCCTGGGGGTTTTTTTTTTGGTAAAGAATGTATAATAATTAATATCGTCATATATTAATAATATCGTGTGTGTGTGTGTGTGTGTGTGATTGATGAGTATATAATTAATACCAACCTTTGCCCTCGGATTGTTCACCGTCATTTACATCATTTGATTGATCGGTAACTTCGATCAATTTGACATGCTGTGGATGCGTAAAGTAGTCAATTAATCACAAATAACACACGCAAGGAAATAATACGAGCCACATAATAATATATTTGTTGATTATTGCCAAATTCAAGAATCAATTCAACAACTACTAACGTTTTCGGGGAATATACCAGTTTTTCCATTCAAATCACCTTTCCACCAACCACCTTCACCTTGTTCAATAACAGTTATAATTCCTCCTTTTTCAAGCGACAATTCATCGTCTTCGCGAGCTTCGTAGTCATACTCAATTCTAGCTAGTCTTTTTTCCTCTTTTATATATTTATTTAATTTCGATTATTATTATTATTGCTTTGAAATGTTATGCTAATCAATGAAATAATGAAATAATTATAAATACTATTGGAATTTGTTTCTTCAGAATTTTCAGTAGCTTGTTCTTCGGTGGTAATGTTCTCTTGAGACTGTTAAAAATAATCATCAAGTGATTTCATAAATAACGTGATAAAAAATTAATCAAAATCTTTAATTAAAAAATAGGTACTTTATTATCAGAATCCATTATTATTTATATCGTTACAAGAAAAATGTTTTTTTTGAAGATACGATAAAATAAAGTTTTGTTTCATATTTCCACAACACCAAATATAGTAAAGATTGATAATTGCTAATGTTAAGGACCAATCAAAATTTCAGAGATCACGCAAATCCTCAAAAGATACTTGGATCTTGGCATATCATAATTACAACAAGTGAAATATAATAGAAATATAATAATAAAATCATTTTAAAATAGACATAAATTTACGATTA